CTCTGCCGAATTTCATCCTCTTTTGAATTTGTGTTTGAATAACACTCGAGCTACAAATCAAAATATGTTGGACACTGAGAGTGAGGTCATGGGGTATAGATCATCATGGCTTCCAGAGAAGTCTCCTTGTGTAAAAGACGGGAACGGGTGGCTGCTGCTTTGACTGATGGCTATAGAAAACTGAGAGGGCTGTTCGGGGCCCATTCTCCCGAGACTAAGTCCCATGCCCGTGCCAAACCCCTCATTTTCCTCCCCGCAATATATTTCATTAAACTTTTAACTCTTCACAAGGTAATTCACTTGGCATTTTGAGACTGTGCTGTTGAAGGCTGCTGAGTGTTTCTCTCTCTGTAATTTAACATCATGCAGATATTTGTCTAATACAGCACTAAAAGTATATTTCAAAATCTATTTTTTTTCTTTGTAAAAAAAAAAAGAAAAAACAAAAAAACCCAACACACATTCAGAACAGTTTAATGGATGAAACTGTGTAACATCCACACCAACAAAGCTGAGCTGCGCGGCACAGCATTTCATGATTACAGCCGTGCAGGTCCCAGTGGCGCAGATATAATTAAGACCTCTTCTTAATTACTTAATAAGCCTAATTAGTAACATTTCTGAGCAGCAGATTTGGCTGCAAGAGCGATGGAAATCAGAAGAATGTTAAGTCTATTTGTTATTTCATTTAAATCCTAATGTTAATGAAATTAGTGCATTATGATATAACTGAAACCAACCACGCTGGGATTGACCAAAGGGCTAATGCAGTTGTTTTATGCTCCTGATAAACATTCAATTAAGAGCAACAAAAGGAGGGCAAGAAAACCAAACCAAAAACAAAAAACCCACACAAAAGAAAATCTAGTTTTTCTTAGGTTTCTACAGTCACATCACTTTCACCAAGCGATCTTGTTTTCTCTCATCGATCATTTTTCATTAGTGGGTGCCCAGATGTGATGGAGAGGGTAACTAAGGCAAGTCCACCAATCATGTGTTGGAGCTGCTGCAGCATTCCTGGCCACTTAATTAGAAGTTGTTGGTACCACAGAAGGTGTCACCAACCTTTTCAGGCACTGAACAGATGGTGTCCCCCTTTTTTGAGGTCCTGCCAATGCCCACTCTGTGGCTCCTGGGAAAATGACCTAACTCACAGGCAGCTGCTTAGTGCGGCTTGAGTGATTCTTTACAGCCACTTCTATTGGGGGGGACTTAGCAGGACGTACCACTGCAAACAAGGGTTGAGACCGCCGTAGCTGGGTCCCCTGGTAGCTGCAGAAATCTGTTTTGGTTACAGGATAGAGGTTGTTAAAGCTGTGTTTTCAGCGCCATGTGCAAAAAGACGAAGGAAAGACCTTAACCCCCAAAGATCTCTATGTCTAAGTGCGAGTTGGGTTTGTGTGCACCTTCCTCTGCTTTTGGCAGATGGTGTGAATATCAACAGAGAAAGGACCTGGGAAACCCCACAGAACAAAAAGTGAAAAGGGTTCCTCGACAGTTACAAAGAGGCCCCATGGAGCGGTGTGTGTGTGTGTGTGTGTGTGTGTGTGTGTGTGTGTGTGTGTGTGTGTGTGTGTGTTGGGTTGGGGGGTGGGGGGTGGGGGGAGTGGCCTTCATGTTAATAGATAAAAAGAAGGAGGGAGTAAGAGATTGGAAGGGCATTTGCCATCGAGGAGTGAAAGTGGATAGAGAAAATGTGAGGACCGTGGGTTCCATATGTGAGGAGGCGGGGGGTCGGAGGGGGTTTAACATGCTTCGTGCTGCGTGGACAGAAGATCGGCTGTCATTCTGTAATCGGCTTGGCTCAGCCTCCTTCCGACCACGCAGGAGGTGGAGAAGGAACAAGTTGAAAATTGGATGACTGTGTTTTTCTGACTAATTACTTGATATGCTTTACACTATGTGGGTTTTATCCTAAAGACATTTGCAGGATTCCAAAAAAATGAAAGAAAATAAAAATCTCAATCACATGCAATCCTGATATCAAACTACTCACAAATTCCTTCCAGAAATCACAATGCTATTTAGAAGGTGCACGACTCTCTCCAGTCCTTGCTCTTGATGATGAGACGTCTGAAAAGGCTGGGGAGTCTACTTGAAAAGTGCCCCGGCTCAGTAGTGCTCTTTCACTGACATGGCAGGGGACATAAAATCTGTCATTTTCATCATGTTCTTTCGTGGGGGAACTTGTTTCCTGCAGCTTTCTCTATCAGATACACTGTATGCCAGTTTGGGTTTATGGCTGTGGAGCTGGGACAAGCCCGATCGATCTGTGGGAGCCATACGATTTAATAGGTGCACAACTCTTGCTAAGGGGCGCTGGGTAGGAGGGATACATTTAATCACTAAGAGGGAGCATGGTGGCAAGGCCTGGTCACCAACAGTTTGTTTTATGAGAAGTCAAGGTATCAATTTTCCTCCACACTGTGAAATATCTTGGGTAATCTATTTTTAGTGCTAGTGTTTCCGTTGTGTTTTCCCATTTCCAACTATTCCCCTATCTGGCTAATTTATTTTGGTAACTTTCGGAATTTCAAGTATTGACAGCTGCTCCTTGAAGTGCTCTATGGCTGCTGCTTAGATAGTGTTTGTGGCTTGTAAGCTCCTGTCTCAGAGCATTACAAACTGCTATGTAGTGTTGACATTTAATGTTTAACATGACATTTAATAAGCTGTCCAAAGTTCTTCACGAAACAACTGTCAGCAATCAGCAGTTATTTCAATGCCCCTGTGTGCATGACTAGAAAGAGAACTGTAACTTTAATTTCACTGGTCACACTGAAACTTAACAAGTTCATTATTAAATCTGAAAATTAAAAAAAAAATTTTGCCCAAAATAAGGTTTAAAAAAGCTAAAAGTCAGACTTACTACTTGGCGAGTCTGACATAACATGAGCACAGAAGCGAGTTTGGGGTGTTAACTTGGCCTCCAAATTCCCCAGATCACAATCCAATTCAGTAGAATGTGCTGGATAAACATTTCCAATCTAATGACGCCTTGCCTCACAACTTACAGGACTTAAAGGATCTGGCGCAGATACCAAAACACACCTTCAGGGGTCTAGGAGTCCATGCCTCGAGAGGTCAGGGCAGTAAAAGGGAGACCAACGCCAACCAACACAATATTAGGCAGATGATCATAATATTATGCCTGATTGGTTTATCTGTCCATTACCAAATAGTTGAAGCTGCTGCGAACCTCAAATGTGCATCAGTGCAACAGCTATCTTGTTGCTACTTAAATACTATGCATTTTCAATTCAATTCAATTTTTCTTATACAGCACCAACAACACAACAACAGTTGCCTCAAAGCCCTTTATATTGTAAGGGAGACCCTACAATAATGCATACGAGAATAACACAACAATCATATGACTTCTTGTGAGCAAGCATTTTGGCAACAGTGGGAAGGAAAAACTCTTTTTGCACCATTTTCAGCAAAAAGGTGTAGATTTCACATGTAGATTTTGTTTTCAATCAAACAGTCTATCTAAAATATTCAAGAGTAAATTACAAAGAGTTCAGAGACATTGTACTTTAGTTTTTGGTGCACTGACAACACAAAAAAACATTAAGCAATAACAGCAATCCATCTTTAAATATGTATTAGGGCAAATTCAGGGCCACAGCTCCTAGTCATCAGTTCAGTTTTGGTGACTTCTAAACACACATTGATCAATAAATAAAGACATTGTCATCTTCATTTATATACAATGAGCACATTTAGAACTCATTAGGATAAAGGGGGTAAGACGAGGAATCACTTCTCTGCACTGAGCTGTTGTCGGCTGTGTTTTGCTCAAGCTCTTCACAGCTTTCACAAAACCTCTGAATAACCTTGAACTTCTGTAGTGCACCTCAACCCCAAACAGCCGTCTGCTTAATGCTGTTATGCCGGGCCCTACATGCTAAAAGTCACTGGTGGTGATAGTGGCTGATTAGATTGTGTCCATTGATTGCACTGCGTGCTGTTAGGACGAGCATGATGCGGGCTGCAGATCCTGCGTCTCCTCCTCCGAAACACTGACAGTCTGAGACAGAGGAGATGGAGCCCCATGCAGGGCAGCAGATTGAGTTATTGATCAGCTCTCTCCTTTCTCCTGTCTCCGTCTCTCGCTCTGCTGCTCCGAGAGACCCCGTCATCAGGATAATGAATTTCACTTATTGCAGATTAACGTCATAAGGTCTGTATGGTAATAATGGCAGGAATTAGCTCTTTGTCACCCCCTCTGAATTTCCAAGAAGGAGGGGCGATGAAGGTTGTTATTGCTCCGTTACTCAGTCTGAGGAGCGCGATTTGAACAAAAGGGAACGGTGAGCGGAGAAGTGCATGAAAATGAAAGAATTGAGGGAGAATTAAAGAGAGACTTACGAAGACTGTGATTTCAGCATCACTGAGGCGGCTGCGAAGAGTTCTGATGCAAGAAATTTGTGTTTGATGAAGGAGGGTGAAGGAGAATTTAGAGAGGAAACCAAGACTGAATAGCAGGCTGCTCTGTGAAAAAGAGAGGCCAAAGAGGAAAGATGAGAGGGGAAGATTCAAAAGGGATGAGTAGTAAAGTGGAGAAGAGAGCATGATAAGCAGTGGTCATACAGTCACCAGGCAGCAACGCCGCTTAAGGGTCGGCCATTGTGTCTCCAGCACCAAGATTGGGGTAGTAACGAATGAATAATGAGGCTTGATTACAGTCCGTGAGATGGCACATTGTTCAGAATCAATCCTCCAGGCAATTACAGGCGCACAAACAGCAGCCCTCAGCCTCAGCACGGACAGAGCGGGAAGCGATTGTGTCAGAGGACAACATCATCTTCGTCAATGACTTGTTGCCTCCTCGTGTCGGAGCCATTAGCACTTACTCTGCTCCTGCAGCCACATTCAGCCACCCACATAAAAAGCCTCCAATTTCACGTTTGTGAGGATAAAAACGCAACACCATGCTCCTGCTCATCATATTCACAAATACACATAATGGACTGCTTCTTCCTTCCTTGTTGCAGGTACGGCTTTGGACTGTTGGATGCAGGGCTGATGGTGCAGCAGGCCGCACACTTCCACAGTGTTCCTTCACAGAAGAAGTGCACACAAGAAGTCACGCTTGATCCTGCCAGGTAAAATACAAAGATTTTTTTTCAAAAAAAACTTTATTGACTCTATCTGCTAAGGATTTTCAGATTAGCCCCCAAGAAACTGGTTTTGATATCAGCATCCATGATCTTTAACTCAACTTCATCTGTCCTGTCACTGCTTTATGCATACATATGAAAGTGAAATGAGCATGTGAGAAGAGGCTTTTGAGGCTTTCGACTTACAGAGGTAATGACTTTGTATTGGCTAGAATCTTTTATCCAGGGCAAGGAGTCAATGTGAACATCCAATCAGAAGCCTGTCGAGGAAGGGCTAATGAGATCAACACTCTTGAGCATGTCCAGGTGGGTAATTTTTTATTTTTTTGATTAAATACATGACATTTTACAACATTTTTTGGCATTAATTTGTTTTTGGTAAATGTAATTATTCACCTACTTGCAAAGAAATATTACTCTCCACTCACTGAGAAGTTTACTCCAGATTAAGCATACACAGAAAACTGAAAACAGTGAATTAGTGAATTTCAGAGGAGCTAGCAGGTGGACTTCAGCAAAACAGAAGCAGGCTACTTGTCTCCTTTCCATTTTTTAAAGGCTTTATAAAGACTTTACCTTCTCCTTTGTCTTTGTGTGCATGATATGAGCCATAACATATCAATCTATAAAAAAATTACAGCAAGAAAGTGAACAGGCTTGTTTTCAAAAATGTTAAACTATAACAGAAAAATTCAAAGAAAGATTCCAAAAGTGAGTTTTTTTCAATAGCATAGGCATATACATTTACACTCCATGTTAGGTACGCCTTGCTAGTTTAGGGTTGGACTCTTTTTTTGCTCTCAGCACTACATTAATTCTTTATGGTACAGATTCAACAAGGTGCCGGAAATATTTCGCAGAGTTTTTGATCCATATTCACATGATAGCATCATACAGTTGCTGCAGATTTCTTGGCTGCACATCCTTGATACAAATCTTCCGTTCCACTACGCGCCAAAGGTGCTCTATGGAATTGAGATCTGGTGACTGTAGAAATCATTTGAGTACATTGAACTTGTTTTCACATTCAAGAAACCAGTCTGAAAAGATATGAGCTTTGTGGCATGCTTTGTTACCCTGCTAAAGGCATGGACATAGTCAGCAACAATACTCAGGTAGACTTTGGTGTTTAAACAGTATTAAAGGGCCCAGAGTTTGCCAGGAAGATATCCCTCACACCAATACACCACCGTCAAGTCAAGTCAAGTCAAGTCAAGTGGTTTTATTGTCATTTCAATCATGTACATATAACAGACAATCAACACAGGACTACATAAAGTGCAAGTGTGCAAAAATTGCAAAAAACAGTGCAACACCAGACAGAACAGAACAATGCAGACACAACAGTGCAATAGAAAAGTGCAACAGTGACAGTGGGTTGTGCAAAAGACTGAGCATTGTGCAAAAAGTAACTTGATGTATTAATGTGTGTGTGTGTGTCTGCGTGACATTGTACAGATAGGTGCTTGAGGTAGTGAAGTGTGTGAAGGTATGTGTGTGTGTGTGTGTGTCAGTCCAGTCACTGAGTGTCACCAGAAGCCTGAACTGCTGATGCAAGGCAGGATGGATCTATGCTTTTCTGGTGTTTATGAAAAATTCCAACCATATCATCCGAGTGTTGGAGCAGAAATTAGGTCATTAATCAGGTGAAAACTGTAGCCTCAGTTTGCTGTTCTTAGCTGACAGGACCAGTGTGGTCTTCTTCTGAAGAAACGTGCATTCAGAGATGCTCTTCTGCATACCTTGGTTGTAACAAGTGGTTATTCGAGTTACTGTTGCCTTCCTATCAGCCTAACATAGTCGGGCCATTCTCCTCTGACCTCTGGCATCAACAAGGCATTTTTTTTCCCAGGGAACTGCTGCTCACTGGATCGTTTTTTTTTTCACACCATTGCTTTTAAACCCTAGAGATGATTGTGTGGGAAAATCACTGCATCGTCTGAAATACCCAGAACAGTCTTTCTTGCACCAACAACCATGCTACATTTAAAGTCACTTTAGTAACATTTCTTCCCCATTCTGATGCTCCATTTCAGCAAGTTGTCTACATGCTTAAATGCTTTGAGCTGCTGCCATATAACTGGCTGATTAGATACTTTCGTTAACATGCTACACATACAGGTGTACTAATAAAGTGACTGATGAAGATGCTTTTTAAAATATTTAAGTGTGATGTAAATCTGCTCCTATAGTCTTTCAATGTTCCTGTTGCCCTTGACAGGACAGAAATCAAGCACAAGTGCATTCAAAAGTTAACTTCTGCCTACAGTCAAGGGAGCTTGAAGATGCCATATAAATTGTTTTGGGGTTTCAGTGTCATGTGCTTTATCTGAGAATAGAGGAGATAAAAAAAAACCATCATACTGTGATGTGCAATGTGTTGGCAGTGTAATTTGCAGAAAATGGCAAAACTGAGTTTTCTTGAGCACAGGCACATACATGCAAATGTGTTTATGTTTGATTGTGTCAGCAGGCATACGTACTGTACGTGTCTGTGCGCGGCTCAGTTTGTGCGAGTATTCTGTGTTTGTGAATGTGTGTACTTGTGAAATGGCAAGGAGAGAGAAGGAGAGCGAGCGAGAGTGTGTCAGCATGCAAATTGAAAAGGCTTCATCTTTGCGGCTCTGCTCCCTGGCAGAAAGCGTGGGTCAGGCCATCGCTGCGAGGTGTGATTGATGGATGTGTTGCCGTGGTAACACGCCGTAAACAGGAGCGGGCTGTCAGTCTTTTTGCAGCTTGGCGGCTCTCTCTGCGATGTGCCATTGTCACACCAGATGTGCTGCTTGTGATGAACAGGGACAGGGAGGGTGTTTACTGGGTGCTACTGGTGGTGGCAGGGGATATGGGCTTATTTAAATCATTTAGCTAATATCCTGCACAATCGTGTTCCATTTATTATACTTTCTTCACCTGCTTCCCTTTGTCTTTGCCTGGCTATGGACATATTTTTGGCTTGTCCATCTATGTGCCACATTATCTCAGACAATACTTATTGGATTTAGATTTAGATTTAAGCAATACAGCACTCTCTGTTCTATTTTCATAATTAGTCAGCGGACCTTATCAGGGAGGGAAGTACATTGTTTGTTCCTTCATCACATGTCTTATCTAGGATGTCAAAGATTAAAACAGCAAATTGATTAAGAAGGCACATTCAAAGAAAGTGCTAGAAAAATGTGCCATTTTTGGAGGGAGTCAGATGAAAGCATGGATGCCAGTTGTCTCATATATATTAAGCTACAGTGTAGATATGGTTAAATCTGCATGACTAAAACTGGGGGAAAAAATGGAAACAACGGAAATTAGTTAATATTGACTTGGTGCAAGGTTAGCAGAATCTGTCAGCAAAAACTCGCCAATTGCTATGTTGTCTCTTTTTTGTTTAAACTGCACAAAAATATTTAAAACAGTATAAAACAGCAATCTGCAGTTTAATAGGACATTATAAATGGAACTATCTTTTACCCCAGCACAGTAATTTCCTCTCATCAATATGATGTTGTAAATCTTCTGGTAGAAACTCTCAGTTAACACAAAAAATACAAGTTTTTTACCCGAGCAGATTAAACAAACTGATATAAAAGCTGAATATGATACATGTAAAACAGTCAGGCTAATTAAGAGAATCAGATCGACAGTTTCCCTTTATGTTAAAGGGAGCTAAGTGGCTGCTAGAAGCTTTTTCATGTTTTAGCTCACCCAACAGTTGTATCGAAGAAGAAGATGAGAAAGTGAATATCCTATAATGTGGAACTATTCCTTCATGGAGCTTGCCATCTGTCTCTCAACAGGTGAGAGTGAGTATCAACGCAGCGTGCCGTGGTGACCTATCCATAAGCCTGGTGTCTCCTGGTGGCACAGTGTCGGTGCTGTTGGATACGAGGCCTTATGATGCCTCCACCGCTGGACTGAAGAACTGGACTCTCATGACTGTGCACTGCTGGGGTGAGCAGCCACGAGGCCGCTGGAGCCTCCAGGTGAGAAAGAAAAGCTGCTCCTATCAGTGTTTAACTGTTAGCCCTGGTTGCTATTTAGCAAATGATAGCAAGTAATGGTGCATTCCTGAATAAGTGTGCTGCAGTGGTGTTTTTAAGTGCAAATAAAAGTATTATACTGCATTGCTCACGATACCTGAATGATTCTGCCTTGCTAAGAATCAAAACAAATCCTGTTTTTCCTTGCTGTAACGTGCTAACTCTGGCATTCCAACATCCAAGTTTGAGGTATGAAGACAAGCCATTAAACATCACTACATCTGTTTTGTTATTGTCCCCATGACCACTAATGACAATTGATGTTAGCATTTAGCGAAGCTAACATTGTTAGTGGTTCTTAATAACATGTTCATGTGTTTTATACAGCATGTTAAAACATTTGGCTAGCTTTGAACTATAAAAAGTAGTAATTACACTAAAAGCCTTTTGTCTGTCTCTTAATAACTGATATGACTTGGAAACTAGTAAAGAAGTGACAAGAAAAAGTAGCCAAAATCTTTGTGACATAGTTTATATATTAATTTTGCTCTCCTGGAGGCCTTGTTTCGCATACCTTCCCTCATGATATAGAAATAATTTGCTCCGCTTCACATTGTCCTCTTCCAGTAGCTGTGTTGTATAGAAGTTTAAAAATAGCCCAGCCCGGCACAGCTCAGCTCAGCTTGGTTCAGTTCATTTTGCAATAGCAATGTGAATCATCCTCTACTTTCATCTCCAAGATTCAGCCAAGCATGGCAATCTTCATTTTCCTCCCCACACTCTTTCTTTTTTTTTCTCTCATAGATGTGCTGATGTTTGATATGGAGGAAGGAGCTAAAATGGAAGGGAAATTAAGACTGGAAGGTTAAGTAACCTTGGCCGGGTTTGACAGGCACAATACTGCCGACATCTGATTAGAATCCATACTCTCAGACAGTAGCGCGCTGAGGTCATTTACTGTATATATGTGTGGGTGGTAGCAGTTGGGGGGGGGGACGACTCGCTATGTAGAAATGTGTGTGTGTCTGTATTTGTGTGTGTGCAAATAGGCGTCAGTCCTTGTAAACAGTTGGAGGTTTATAAAGAAAAACCTGTGAAGATGAAAGACACCCCCCCTCCGTCCTCGTCACCTACCTCCTCCTGCAAATTCGCACACATGCAAACACACACACACACACACACTCTTTCTTTTCTCTGGCTCCATGTCTCTGTGTCTCTCCCACGTCCTCGTACAGATTTACTGTCCCCTCTGTGACCAATTACCAGGGCCCAGTGTGTCGCAGAGATGGGGAAGAAGCACCGTGAAGCCGAGCCACATAACGGTGCCGTTGCTCATTACCGGAGGGCCGAGACAAGTCGCCGCGATGCTCGCAACACGAATTAACGCTCGCATCTGACGTGCCGCATGCCTTAGCACGCCACTAATCAGCCCATACACACACCCACACACTGATTGGTTTCATGCTGGATGTCAGCTCTGCCGTAGATTGGAGAGCAACATGTACACACTCTCACAAATACGGGGTGCTTGAAAAGGAGACAGTGCGTTAGCATGGTGGGGTGGGGAGGGGGATACCAAGGACTTACATGGCTAAAGTTGAACAACAATGTCCAACTATATGAATCAAAATCTCTCTTTTCCGAAAGTGTATAGATATTGATTGCTAAATAACACAAATTGTCATTTTTAATGGTTTTTGACATTTGGCAGGCTGCTACAGAAAGCCTCTGACAAGCAGCTACGCCAATTAAATCTGACACTGATACATGGAGAGAACCAGAGGACATACAGGACTAAGAAAAAAGAGGAGTTTTAGAGAGAGGCAAGGGTAACCTATAACATGGAGCCCTGGGAAGGGACTTTACCTGGACTATGTTTTGGATCTGTGTTTAAAAACTCAAGGGCGGCAGAGAACGAGGGCTGAGGGACACGGGGTCTGTGGAGAAGTCCGTATTGATTCGTCATGATGACAATTGTCAAAGAGCGCTGTGGTTCTACTAGGAATAAAAGTGGGACTGAAGTGAAAAGGGAGCGAGTGTTATGGCTCGAGGCTCAGCTGACCTTCTAGCGTTGTGAAGGAGACGGGAATGCGGGGCTGGAAATACATACTCTCTCTCGCTCTTGTCATAACTGCTCTCCCTTGTGCTCACTCTACCGCCATCTGTGGTGCCTCAGCTCACCTCCCTGCTTTTACTGTTGACCAGAGACAGTATTGCACAATATGGAAATCCCACCGCCATCCTTAATGACAGCGTGCAGTTTACAATATGCACGCTGTCATTAAGGATGGCCCATAAGAAGATAAAATGGTAATTTCACCCAAATGTAGACATTTTTTCCTCTCTGTGGTGAATGTCGTCACCAGTGGTTTTAGTGTTATTTAACCAGATTCATCTCCACCGCAATCAGTGTCCCCACTTTCCTTGATAATCAACAGACCTCGATGTGGACTATGCACATTTTCTTTTTAACAATCTGAACACTTTAAGTTAAAATTTTGTTGAGGTTAAAGACTTTTAAGCTTCAAACTTCCTAGCAGGAGCTGTAAAAGGAGTGAGATTTATGTGAGCTGCAAAATACAAGTTAAACAAGGATAAATGTTTTCTAAATAACTAGTTTATTTATAGTCAGGGAGCTTCATATCTCAGGCCAGTTATGACTCGTATTGAAACAGAATCTGGAAGCATCATGTCTTGCTGTTAAAAGAGCATGTGTCACATGTATATGAATCGGGGGCTCATTAAGTTAAATTGTAGATGATGTCATCAATTTTTAGTTTGTGCTTATTCTAATATTGCTACACTAAATCAACGTTTGAAATGAACTCAATTATGATTAGGTTTATATCATCAATAGTCCCAGCCCTAGACGGACGAATGATATCTTAAAACCTGAGAATATTAAAAAAACCTAACTACACTGTGACTGACCATGAAAGGTATGAGGGAAGTATCCCTCTTTGTAATTTCACTGTACGAAGTCTTTTACTGTGTGCGTGTGTGGTACAGTAACAACTCTTCTAATTGGTAACTATGACTGACAGCAGTTTTTTTCTATTCCTTCTGCTGCCTGATACAATGAGTTTTCAAAGAATATTATAGAAGGGTGTCATTACTGTGCTCCACTTTCACTGAGACCTTATACACACAAACACACAAGCAGAAAAAAACACGGCAAAAATATAAACACACATACGTTGCTCTCCCACCCCACCTGCCATGCCCACAGGGTAGGTTTGTGTGTGTGTGTGTGTGTGTGTGTGTGTGTGTGTGTGTGTGTGTGTGTGTGTGTGTGTGTGTGTGTGTGTGTGTGTGTGTGTTTATAGCAGTGTGGCAGCAGTCTTTGAGCAGCGACATCTCTGATTCCCAGAGGACTTTGAGACTCGAGCTGACTGTGACTAGAGCGGCTGTAGGAATATAATAGCACTATTTAGCCTGCAGCACTGTGGTCACACACACACACACACGCTCAGACACACAAACAGCCACCCTTGCTGTCTGTGATAGACAGATCATATATTTACCATCTTCATCCCTTGTGCTCCTTCAGGAGTCTTTCCCCTCTTGTCTCCCCAACAGATTACACAAACCAAACACAGACACACACACACACATACACCGTGACTAAGTGATAATAGAAAAACCTGAAGATAAAGTATTAACTACGCAGTTTCTGCCACTGTCTTCCACCTTGAGTTGATGAATATGGTACAGTTTGTGTTGTTCATTCTCGCTGGGTAAATGATAAACCCTTCTGGGGTAAGATGGTGTTCGTTAAAAACACCAGACTGTTACGATAAGGTTGTTTTATTTGCTTCATCATCATATTTGGTATTAAATACAAGCGTGTGCTATTAGCTGCAGTGCTCTGATATTTACTTTTTAGACGTTGCATTTTGAAAAAGTATTACACTAACTGGATTTTATGTTTTTAGTCTAACTGTACAGGCCCGATGAATGTTGTGTCCTGTCTTCCTCCCCTCATCTTCAGGCTTGGCAGGTGGCCGCCTCTCTCTGAGCCTGGTTCTCCTGGAGGTTTCTTCCTGTTAAAAGGGAGTTTTTCTTTCCTACTGTCGCCAAGTACGTGCTCATAGGGGGTCATCTGATTGTTTCTCTGTATCATTGTAGGGTCTTTACCTTGCAATATAAAGCACCTTGAGGCGACTGTTGTTGTGATTTGGCGCTGTATAAATAAAATCGAACTGAATGTGGTTTGACTATAGTAACTAATTGGAAAGCTGGATTTAACTTGTCGAAGGAGAAAATGTGTATCTGGGGCTTTTATGAACTCTACACTGAAAAATAATTCAGAAATGAGAAAAACATACTCGCTGCAGTCTCATATTCTTAGAGGTGATGTTAGGTCCCATTTTTAAAAGGCAGATTTTTTTCGGACTTTAAAAAGTTATCCTACAATGTTATGTACTACCTGTACAGGGGAGAAGTACTGCTGACCTCTGGTAAAACCAGTGTAAGAACATCTTCTGTCGTTACTGTAACAGCAACGTACTTGCACACAGTATCAAGTTTGGCAGAAACACTGTCAAAGCCTGAAGTAGAAACACAATCACACGCAAACAAACATGCATTTTCATTCACACACACTCACTCACTTTGGCCCAAGGTGGATTTCTAGAGGTGCATATATTTACATATATTTGCATGTTTAATGAGTTTTGGGAGATCAAGCGATCCAAGCGGCCCTTTGTGGGTATTTCTTTCTTTCTTTCTTTCTTCCCTTCCCTTCGTTTTTTTTTTTTTTTTAATTTGTGTGTGTGTGTGATTGTGGTAGGAAGGGGAGTAGTGGAGGGGGGTCTCCATGTAAATATCACCCACTGTGTGTTGGCACCCGTCGCAGATGGTCGGGGGCGAGGGCACCCTGTGGGCACAGGATACCTATTTCTGTTTATCTGTTTTGTGTGAGACTGGGAGGCACAGAGAGTGTGACTCTAGTTTGTGTGTGTGTCTGTGTGAATTCATTGCACTCTAGGTGTTTGTATGTG